GAGCTTACGTCAAGCTGTCGCCACGCTTCCATATCTCCGGCGATATGAGACCAGGATGCTCGCTGTCACCATTCCTCTTCAACTTCGTTATTGACGAAGTCAGAGATGATGTTCACATGACACGTTCAAAAATTCAACTACCTTGGCAGTTTTATCAACGCCTGTGGAATCGAAGAAGGTCATGAACAGTATAGCGAAAGCTCGAGGCGATTTTGCTAGCCTTCGCCAGATGCGGCGCCAGCGCGATATCACTTTCTCTCCCTGATGGGTAGTGTGAACAATGCAGCGGTCCGTTCAACCCTGCTGTACGGTTGCGACACTCGGCCCATTAGGTCGACAGACGTAAAGAGGCTAGTTACGCTCGACAACCGGTGCGTTCGCAGTTTGGCTAATATCTGGTGGGAACACCGCGTGAGCAATGAGCGGGTTCGACGCCTTGTTTACGGCACGGGAAAAGGAACTGAACCGCTCAGCACCGTTATTTCACACATCAGGCTCCAATGGCTGGGCCGTGCTGTGCATGACAACCCACCGGCTCCTGCGACGTGCGTTGCTTTGCGCCGCGGATGTGAATGGAAGAAGAGAGGTAGCTAAGCGATGACTTGGTTAAGAACAATGAAGGCACTTAGTTAGAAGTTGGCATCGATTGGAGCCTCTCGGTTGAGGCTCAAAAGAAGATGAACAGGTTTGGCTGGATATACTTGCTGAAATGCCTAGGAGACGACCTTAGTGGCGTTTGCGTTGTAAATTGCTTTGTCCAACCACGATCTGATTTCCTAACATAGTATAAATTTTACACAATGTAAATTTTTTGTGGCACAATACCGGCTGGTAGCTTTCTGGAATGATGCCCATCCGTTACTGTGCGGCTCAGCTGGCATGGCACTGTTGCAGTCTTTTCTTTTTCTTTTTCCTCCTTTTCTGTAGTAAAACACAATAGCTGAGGTGTTTTCCACCTATAGCTAACTTGAGCTCGTTGGAAGACGAGTTGGCTTGTACGCTGTAGTGCAATGTGATAGCGAAAAGGGTATGACATTTCTCTGTGGTGACCCTAACACAGGAACGTAGCGGCGAATAAAGTATCCCATGGTTTAGCGAAGATGAAACGAGAAGGATGATGGTAAAGCGCTTGAAATACACCGGTAAAGTAAGCCTAGGTGAAATGTAAAACCCGTTAGAAACACTGGGAAATGAGGTACCAGTAGAGATTTACATTCGATCACGATTCGGTGAGTTCAGAGTGGTGCACAAAGGACAATTTTATTAAAAGGAGGAAATGCTTTAAGGACAATGAAAATAGAGTGAGTGCCGAATAAAATTGAGGGAGTATGCAGTAGCACGTATTTGTGAGACTTGGGTATCGGAGGGGCGAAACGCGAGTATGCGGGTTAGAGTACTGACTCAAACTACGACCCTGAAGATTTCGGACGGATAATTTAGTGATTAGTGTAGCGTGAACATCAGTATGGTAGCTTTGTGAGATGGTTGGTGGCATCCGGTTTCGGATTTGCCTGTCACTGTGGTCAGCCATGGGACGCCTGAGCCTACAGAGGGACCATGGGTGGCTTGCGCTGCACCACCCACACACCCCATATCCAGTGTAAACCCGAAGGAATAAGACCGGGAGGCATACGAATGGGAGCCACGTTTCATCAACGGAGCCGGCCCACACTCATTCACAGACAAACACAAGCACGCTGTATTTGGGAATCAAGTGCACACAAGGCGGTGGCTGGACCGTAGTCCGCTCCACATTGAGTGCATGGAACCACTCTTTGATCCTAACACGGCCACAAGGACCGTGCACCCCGTCCCCTCCAGCAACGACCAACTGTCTCCTGGAGCCAGTATGGACGAGGTAGTGCGTATTAGACAAGTAGGCACCTTGTCAACATGCACATCAAGCGCAGCCACAACTGGGATGTCAAACAACAGCCAATCATTAGAAATGCCGATATCGATTAAAGTAAACGCATATGACGACACAGATACTCGCTAAATGAGCATATGGAAGAAAGTGGTTACATGTGAATACGCGATAAGTACAAAATGTCCGAAAGTTATTTAAAACATCACGCGATAAAATTACGCAAGTTTGCCACAATTTGCGTGAGCGACGTGTGCAAGCAAGGAGAAGATTATCAAGTACGCAGAACAAACCAAATAATATGTAATGAATTTTATCCACATAAAAAGACCTAGTTTAAGTGTAAGTTGATTTAGCCCAACTGCGGTGAAGAAGCATCAAGGATGCAACATCAGCCTCAGCATGGGGCAACACGGCAGATAAAAAACTGTGATATAGTGGCAAAAGATATGCCGATGAATGTACCCTTGTCAATACTTTCTGGAGTAACCAGGCCAAAAGCAATTATCAAGGGAGAATTACGCAGATGCTTGACATAATGTGTGCAAATATCTAAATTATGATGTAAACACAGCTGCGTCCAACGGTACAATGAAAAGCAAAAGCATTCAAGTCTATCAATGTGGTGTTCAGCAAGCGCAATCAGGATGGGAACCAGTGGGACGCCAAATGCAACGGCATATAGTACCGCGATGGGTGTCGTCGCAGTATGCGTAATGAAATGGAAAAAATACAATAACATAACAAATTGGGTAAGTAAACATCGAGAACAAATCGACAATTTTAACAGTTAGGAAGTCAACGATGTACCAAACGAAGAACATACGCTAAACCATCTTTCGAGACAAGGATTGAAGGAAGAGATTAGAGCTAGAAGTTACTACGAAGAAAAGCTGAGGCTTATACTAGCAATGGAGTAGGTGGCTCAATACGTGCTGAGGGTCGTTGTAGAGGTGGAATGAGACAGAAAGGAGGGCAAACGAAGGGACGGCTGAACTGCTAACTGTCTGGGTGCCCCATCACCATTAGATGAAAGTGGAGATTGTCATAACAAATTGAGTAAAAAAGCTACGGAATAGTTTGATAGACTAAACAGCCTAGGATAACATAAGGTAAACATCAGGGAGGACAAAGTATTCAGTTTTGGAATTTCCCGAAAGAGTAACACTGAAGGCATAGTAGTCTCGGTCGGAAGAAGTAGATGCAAGGAAGCTATCCGGCGTCTGACAGGAATAATTCGAACACACATGTATCAGGCCCTCAGAAATCGTAGAACGTGTAACCAGGTAAGAAGTACCGGTTAGTAGCTTGATCCAGGAGTCCGGTGGAGGAGTTTTACCAAATCAGAAAGTATCATGCGATGAAGACGTGATAGTCTAGAACACAGTGATGACTGCATGAGGGGCAGCGTTATGCTATCAGAATGAATCACAGTCAAACCTACACTCATGGTGACATTTAATCTGTGAGAACGCGCAATTCCTCCATCGGCGTGTGTACAACAACGAGACCTTAAATGAAACAATGGACCGGCCTGCTGAGTTACACACACTGTTTCCTGATAACTGGCCAAAAATGGAGGCAGTCCGCAACGTAAATGAGAGAGAAGGTTGAAGAAATCAGAGTATTTCTTGATGAATTCGTAAAGTGAGAAGAGAGCACCATCAAAAAGAATCCATGCAATATGGTTTCCAGGGGTAGGAGAGGAGCTCATTCCGACCAAGAATAAGCGTCGTCAGTTAAGAAACTGTACCGATAGTGAGTCGGTGAGCAGGTTAGCCCATACGTCATTCAAAACAAAGATAGCGCAGTACATTTCGTACAGAACACAAAATTCCAACGGGCCACAACTGCAAGCTAACACCATAGTCCACCTGTAAACGACGAGTGAGTCCGATTAAGAAGGTGTGAACTGAGGCTGCTGACTAAGGGTAACATATGTGCTGTGGAGGAAAGCTGGTTTCGTCAGATGGCCATAGGTACGCAAAGCTCCATGCTGCGTAGAAAATGGGGCTGCCAACTATTCATTTGAGTCAAACTTGTCCGGAAATTGCCTCTCAATCCTTACGGTGGTTTCCATACATTGAGGGTATGTTTGCGCTGCCAAGTATGATGTGCTCCATCTCTGAGATGCAGAGTTCCTCATGGAGTAGTTTCCGGGCGCTTCATCAACGAATCGCAAGGTCACAAATGCCGAGTCAAACGGCCAAATAGCAGCAGTTGGCCAAGCGCCAGGTCCTTAAAGAGCGGATGTGCGTTCAAGTCACTTTGCCGGACGCACATGCACTCTGGCGGCACAACGGCTGAAGCGTAAACGAGTGTCGGTAGTTTCAAATATCAGGACAACGCCCAAACGAGATGTAACAAAATCTCTGGTAGATAGTGAATCGAGAGCAGTGGGGTGCGCTCATGACGATACACAAGTGGGCGTAACAGCCACATCCGCCTAGGAAAAATCATGTGTAGAGGTGAGCCGAAAGGAATTATACACTGCAGGCATCAATGCGTAGACAGTAGATTTGCCGATAACTGAGGCCAGTCAGTGTGAAGTTGGAGCCCGATTCAAAAAAAGGCAAACAAAAGTGAAACTGCCGATCGAACAGAGGGGAAGAAAGGCAAGGAGTGGATTGAAGTCGTCAGGGGAATTATACGTTATCGGCAGTGAAGTATTATGCCAAATATTAGTGAGCGTGGAGGGGCCAAGATCAGCCCAAGTACTGATTGAACGTTAAAAGAGAAAAACAATAGTAAAAATGATGATAATAGCGAGGAGTTACACCGAGTAGGGAGTATACTGCGGACAAGATGTGAAAAATGGACCTCGACAATGGGCACATGAACCTATGAGGGAAAGTTGCCAGTACCGGTTTACCGTCAACAATGAGAGTGGAATTTTAGAAACTGCAGTTCAAACCGGAAAGAACCAACATTAGCATATAAAGAAGAATCTCAAAAGCAGAAGCTAGGAGGAAATTTGGTTGAGAAAAGTAAGCCAGTTGACTACGGTTAAAGGGTTTCAGACGAGGAAGTGGTGTCACAAAGTGAGGAAAACGAAATTACCGCGCCGCTAATTAATCGCGGCTATACGACCATCGTATGTATAATATGAGCAAAACGAATGGGGCATGCGTACTGAGGAACAGTTGGAGCCAGCGAATAGGGTGATAATGCAGGAGGCTGATTGAATCGGACAGGGAGATTTGGGGCCGGGCGGGTCGGGACTGGTCGTGAGGTCGAAGTGGGAGCTACCGGATTCGGTGGTGGAGGTGTTATTGCTCGGTGGGATCGACCGGGAGAGCTAAGCTGTTGTCGCCGGGCGCTTCCCGAAGCTGATAAGACTTCCTGGAAGAGAAAAGCAGAAACTTAGGAGTTGGAAACAACCCCGGAGCACATACTTGAGTTTGAAAAAGAAAAAATGTATCAGTAATACGCCGTACCAGCGTTTGGTTGCCATGCAACCACCACTAGTTGCGGGTGGGCTAAGACTACTACGAGGGTCCCCCGGTCCTCCACGCAGACTCGAACTCACGACTAACGGGTTGCAAGGCAAACGCCTTGTCATCTCGGCCACAGGGCGGCCACTGTATTACAACGCCAGGAGAAAACCGGTCTAAAATTTAGTCGCTTGTTCAGAAGTCTATTCTGTGTTTGGATTAGGTTGTGGTGAAGGTACAGCCGCTTCCGGAGAAACGTGAGGCTATCAAGAAGTTCGCAGCTCCGAAATCAAGTGACAGCTCCGTTCGTTTGTAGGAGTGGAGGCACGATTCCAAATTCGTACCCACACTTCAGTTTAGTGCAACAGGAAAAACAAAAGGGTGGAGATAATCGATTAAGAAGTAACAGAACTCATGCGTCACAAAAGCGGTGTTTAGAGGGTCATGAAAAGCAAGCGGGATATCCCACCGGTGTGTCGCTTCAAGGTAGTGAGTACGATACGACAGAGGGACGGAGGTGGTGAGCGACCTTTAATGGTGAAGACATTGGTGCAGATTGTACCTAAATAACTTCCGCCGATGATGCAAGTACAACCCGAATGGCTAAGCGTTGTTTAATGTGTAAATCATCAGATGTGCACAACGTCACGTGCATCGTTTAGAGCCAGAATGCAGTGGATCGTGGACCCCCAGAAGAAACGCAAACAGAACCCACCGTTTCTAACCAATCGTCCTTCACTGGAGGAGGTAGTGGGACGCTTTGTGTGCTCGATACAACGTCGCGTATGATAGTCATAGCTTCTTTCAACGCTTCGTACATACGGGTCAGTTCTTCGCGACGTTGCTTTTCCGAATCGGACTCTTGCATGAGCTGATTCTGAAAGGGAAAAAACCGATGCACAGTGAAGATGCGATTGGTATATAGCAGAGTACAACTATTTGGAAAGTCTAAATAGAAGGTGGTGATTAACTGCTTACGGGGTCTTGAGAGTAGATAGACGGCAACAGATCGCTGTTGAGGTACGATTTCACCTACAGAAGAGGAAAGGGTAAGCAAGAAAATGCTGATCTCAGCGTAAAAGGTGATGACCCTGCTGAACATTGTCAATGCAAGTTGGAATGGCAACTAATAGGAGGGAAAACAAGCAAGTGACTAGAGTAAGAGTAGGCATCTGAAATATTGCGGTACCTGGATTCGGTGAATGGAATAATAAAAAAAACGGGCATTCATGCATGAAAATTGCTTGGTTGAGTTACGCGCGGAATACTAGGATTGCATCATGCAAGTTTAGCCGTCACTGTTGCCAGTTAAAGAAGACCTCGGTGTTATTCGCCACTGAGCTCGTTTGAAAAATGCTCCAATCATGGGCAAGGTCCGTCTGTGGGCAGGATAACCGAGAGACGCCTGAAGGTAGATCATTGTTCCAATGAGTATTCCAAAACTCTGAGTTGACTCTCCAAATGCTATGATTATTGTTGCTCACAGAACTCGGAAGTTTAGCGGTAAATGTTCGGGTTGGCACATTTACAGCCTGGCTACGTCCAATTGAAAAACTGAAACAATTAAGAGACCGGTTACGAAGTGCACTGCATAGGGGCAGTAAAAAGCGAATATCCTACCTGTAGTCGAATGAAATATATGGGAATCTAGTGGCGATACTTTCAGCAAAGAGCTGACACACAACTATACGCTCGCCGCATCACCCAGTGTCTGTGAAGTTCCGAAGAAAAAAATAAATAAACCGCCAGCCGTACGCCGTAACGGCGCTTCGCTGCCACGTGACCACCAGCAGTCGCGCGTGGGCTGAGTATACCGCGAGGACGCCCACCCCTACGCGGAGGGGAGCCGGTGACCTTATGGTTGCAAACCGGGTGCGCAGACCATTCAGCCACCGACCGATGAGAAAACAAGGGGGTGTTCTCATAGAGCTCAAGACGGAAAGTGTTTCGTAAGAGCACTTCCTCTATACCTTATGGTAATGCTGATACAAATCAAAGAATATACAATTGGCTAATGCGACTATGGTGACCTCACCTAAACCTGCAGTAAACAAGATTTGCTGACATCGAGAGGCCCAGACTGACTCTCAGTTCAGTGCAGATGCTGTGGAAAACTAACAGACGATGCCGGTGTTTTAGATGCCAAAACACGATGGTGAACATTGCGCTGCCAAGTGAGCAAGGAAGCGGCCAACTGATTGTAACAGTGACTCCCACAGAAGTGGCAGCAAGCGCCGATGCGAAATGGACCAGACAGTAGAGAGCACAGATAAATAGAAGACGGAAAAGGCCGCACTTGTGTTCTCGAAGCTCATGAAGAGTGACCTCGGAGTACATGGACATTATGAACTGCACATGGAATCCGAGGCGAGGACTTCAGATTTATCTATACAATACGGGAGGAGTGCAATCTCGGCATTATTCGAACAGCCTTAGGTAGAGACAGTGATAATCCAATTAGGTGCACATGCTAGAAGAGGATAGCAATGGGGGCAAAATCACGCCAACAACTCTATAGGATAGCGGCCAAACAGAACAGTCAACTTGCGATAGCGTGCCCGGTGCATCCATCCACATGACTGGGTAAAAAACAGGATAAGTATTAAAAAGAGGCAATCAGTGCTCGGGAGGTCCCGTTGGAAGTATACTGTGGAGCAACTTGCCCCAGGCATGGGGTGTGAACGATGGGTTTTCTCGTTAAAAGGCGACATGGAAGACACAAGCAAAAGCAACATGCGACAAAATTTTGGCTAATTGTCGTAGTTGGGCATGAGTTGATGAGCAAATTGATATGCAATCCCATACACGGTGGACATCAGTGGCAACAGTCGCAATGAGCTAGAAATGGGTATTTAGCACATGCTAAACTTAAGGATCTGCCACGGAATGAGTTCACTGGAAGAGTGTGGTAGGTTCGTCAAGCTTTCCAGTTCGCAGAGAAATGAAGCGGACACGGACCTACGTTTCCGCTTTGCTGGCAATGTCCAGATTCCATAAAAATAAGGCTAAAGTAAGCATGTGATGCTCGTTGAGCGGTTGCATCTAGACAGGCGTGACACGCTGGATGGACAACGAGTTCCCGTCGGGGAGGGACCAGCACCAGCCGAGGAGAATGAGTACGGCACTTCGTACATTAATGAATTGGCACGCGAAGTGCGTTAGTAGACTGATCTCTCTGATTCCAGACAGGATACGCCTTTGTGGGTAGGATCCACAACGAACACATTAAAATGGTCAAAGGGAGTGGAGAACAGACAGACAAACACGCGACGCGCCACAGAACAGTCGCATGGTTACAGCAATGTCTGGTGCACCTGTTAAATGGTCGTGTACCGAGGAGTCGTGAAGGACTGATTGAATATCCCCGTAATCATGAGAATGAATAGATGCAGACACGGATTTCATAGACATCGTGTGTGAGGACAAAATGATTAAGTGCACGGGACAAGACAACGACCACAGTGAGTGAGTTGCAAGGCGATCAATGGAAAAGTCAAATTTGTGGGAGCGGAATTGGGTAAGTGCCAATTTTAGTGGTCATTAAATGTGAATAAAGATTTACAGACAGCAGTTCAGAGAAAAAGCGGGGAACAAATAAGGGGGACGAGACAGGCTGTGTCGTACCGAGGTGACTAGAACTCGAAATTCACACTTACAGACTTAACAAGAGCCAGTGAACACACTAAACAGCAACACAGGAATAACCGGAATCCAATATAGGTTGCAAGCTTTTGGAGACCGCTCGATAATCCGCAAAGACTAGCAGATGAAGGTCAGTTTAATTCAGTTCAGTTGAACAACTATGATCTGAGTTCGGTGGATTCAGTTGCCACGACACACATCGCAAGAATAACAACGGCAAGATAGTGGGGTTGAATGTGAAGAAAAGTAAAGCAAGAATCAGAATCCAACGAAAAGTAACAGTCAGACGCAAGAAACCGAATGAACCGAATGACTGGGTGACTACGCCATGTCTAATTCGGTATCCAACCATTGGTGTGGACCATCACGAGGCCCCCATGCATGAAGATGGCAAGTGGCAACCTGACCAAGTCTCGCAATCAATTTCTTTATGGTCTTGAGGTTTCGTAGAACCTGGTGGGGCCACGGCGTATGATACACGCTGAGGAAGCCGATCAACTGGCATACCGAGGACATAGCACACTTGAGACGATTCCAGTCAGTGTTCGGTTCATCAACCTCATTCATCATTGACAATTGGTGGGTCAGTTCGACATTGAACTGCAGACTGCAAGTTCAAGTTACAAGTAAGGTGAGAAGATAGGCGCTTCTTTGAACTAGGAAGAGTGAGCGCCAAGCATGCGCGCACTAGAGAATCGTAGGAATCCAGGCACGTGCTCGAAATTGACCGATATACTGGACTGGTGTGCGCCATCTATAGCTGATGGCAATATGGATGCAGGTCAATGAGGAATTCGGTGGGCGCCAGGTGACGAGGCGTGAACGTTTGTGCTAGAAAGTAGTGTTGTGGTAGGCGCATAGCTGCAGGGATCAATCACCATGGTGTGTTCAGCATGCATCGACTCCGAAGCGGTCGCCCAGATGTTGTTCAAAGTCTGCAAGACGACCCACTTGGACATTCATGTCATCAGCAACAAACACAGTGGCAGTATTTTGCTCCATGCAAAATAGTGATGACAGCTGTCGATAAAAATAGTCGTTGATACCCTCTGAGCTGCACTCAGTAAGGGCATAAGCTGAGACGATGAAAACGCACCTTGTCTTCATACGGTGCTTATTAACTCCAGTGGAGGTTCGAAGTTGAACCGTACACATGCGGTTGTTCATCGGATTCCAGTCGCGTAGATTGCTTTTAGCATGTTTGCTGAAGGGCGATACCAACAACGTAAATACCTTGAGCCATTGAATCAGTATCGCCAGAGACGCAAAAAGTGTAATCATCATCGTCAGATTTAGAACCAGAGTGGCAGATTTGTCGCGACGCTGTTATCATGTATGCAAATATCACCTGGTGCGTCGTAGTACGTTCCATCAGGCGTGATGATAAAATTGAAATTGTTGTTGCAACGCGAACCCCGGACACGGAATAGTTTGGCTAGCTCAGCTGTTTTGCTATGGCCGTTCAGAGCTTTATAATCTTCTAGAAGGAGAGCTTTGTCATTTTAATGCCTCCGTTCTTTGACGAGCTTGGACTGCTTTAATAATAGCGCAAAGTCAGCAGTTAACCCGAATTTCTGCCGGATCTTATGAAGCTTTCGTGTTACCTTCAACCCCTTGCGATCGCATCTAGGTTTAGTTTGGCAAGCAAATTTCACTGGTACTGCTGAATATATGGGGAACCCAATTATACTATAAAACAGGTCCGTTGCCTGTTGAAGACATGAAGAGAGAAAGAAGTTATTCCAATTCATCGAACGAACCAGGTCCTTGAAAGAATTTCAGTTGACGGAACTGAACAGACGATAACGTATTGCCTTCGGTACATCGGCCATGCGTAGTCTTAGACGGTATTTGATCACGCGATGATCGCTCCCCGGAAATTCATCAAAAAACGTTAACACTGATTGCAGGTATTCCCAAAGAAAAAATGAGATCCAGAGTACCTTAACCTCTGGTAGATTGGGAAACGTGTTGCTGCCAACCATTCATTTGGATACAGAAGATTTTGGCATTTCAAAGGAGCGGTTCCCATGGGTCATGCAATCGAAGGCAGATTGAAATCACTTCTAATAATCTTATGTATACATGGAAGGCTAGCGGCGCATTCAAATGCAAGCGTAAAAAGTTCTAGACCTTTTTTGGCTGCAGTTTGGCGTGCTGTATATACACCTCATTAGCAGCTGCTGCTGATTAACAGATATCGTAAGCCACAATGATTCCTGGACATCGTTCAGCACTGGGTTCTCGTAAGATGCTGCTGCGAGCGAATTTTTCATATAAATCACACAGCCACCACCTCGACGACTAGACCGATTTCTCATAAACTTGTGATATCCGAAAATAGTTAACTGATTGTCAGACATGTCATCATGGCACCAAGATTCAGTTATAAATATTATATCAGGATTATTCATCAAAACAAATGAGCGTAGTGTGTGGAGCTTAGAGTGAAGAGAACGAACGTTTGTCAAAAATACTGAGATGGATGTGAGATTGTTTAGTTTGTGTTATAAACACTGGGGTTTCAAGCCGTGTGCATGGATCCAGGATAAAAATGGTTTAAAAGTGTGTGAAAATGATTTGAAGGTGGCCAGAGCGGAGGGAGTTGCGGCTGAGTATGACCCTCTAGAAAGTGGTTCGAGGAAAAGAGTCCATGATTGTTGTAATAGCTTGTGGGAGCTGGAGAGTTAGGTTATGTCTTTTGAATCATGTCCCTATTAGGTTGTTGATTACGTAACGTATTGATAGGAGACAGTGGGTTGCTCTCATTTCCATTTATTGGTAAAATCCGCTTACTTGCACTCGATATACAAGGCTTCGCTATACGCGGTGGAGGCACACTGGTGTCAATCCATACACCACTATGAGCATGATCTGTGTGGTTCGTTGACGAAATCGGAAAGTCGTGGTACCCAATTACACCGTTTGTAAAGTGCAAAGATGGCGGTACGTCTTGCATAGCTTCATGACCAATGAATGTACGTCTATCCGAACAAAATGAAGATACATAGTCGCTCAAAAACGCTTGGGATATATCTAGGTCAACCGTTCTTTTACTATCGAGCAATTTGACCGGATTCATCGATATTCTCGATGAGCTTGAACAATGGCCATAGCAGACTTTCGCGGGACTTGACAGTTCGAGGCCTGAGGTAGCTGTTTTGCATGCAACAGGGATTTAGCAGGTAATGCAGTTGTTGACGTGATCAAGAGGGTAGATGAAACTCTCCAGCTACCCGTACTGGGAGAAGAGTTTTGTTCGCGGTGCCCTACCTCTAGCCTTTGACTCAACAATCTGACGCACAATGCAGTGGGATACATGGAGGTTCGCTTGAGAGACTCAACCCGGAGCCTTTGGCTCAATAGTCTGACCCACAAAGCAGAGAGAAGGAAGTGCAAATCAGGGAATGTGATTGCAGAGACCCATTGGGATCCGCTTGAGGCCTGTCACACACACAGCTTTTGAAGATTTAGAACAATGCACTTGTGTTTCACGACTGTATTATATTGTGCAACTGTGATCATGGCCAACCGCAGGTTTGCAGCAATTTGACCAGGGATTATGTGGCTTGAGGCGGGTGGTAGCAAATCACGGAGCACCGGAAGGTGACCTCCTACCGTCATAGACAACGTGGCGCTCGTGCTCTACGCCAGTCGAGCTGTGAGCTTACAACCTGTAGACATGTCCCTCATGGCTAGGTCTTAAGAGAAGAGGGCCATCGACCTTGTCCTAGCCCCTGGAGAGGATTGGACTGTGAGACTGAGTTAGTCAGACTCCTCATCATTGACCTGTTTAGTGTTAATGGCTCTGAAGGCACTTGGAAAGTGCCACCCAGCGTAGCTCAATGAATCGCGGGGGTACGCAAACTATCGCACCACGCCAATGTTCTGTCTCGTTGCGATGAATGTCGCAAGAAACTAGGTGGGTATTGGTAAAGTAAGGAGAGCAGATGAGTATTTGAGGAGTGTGAAAATACAAAGACAAAAAAGATTGCATTCAGACCAGATAAAAGGCTACAGTCAAACACTGGGTACAAAAAGAAACCGCAACTATTTCGTTTCTTTCGGTATGTGATACGGTGGGGTGAAATTCTCAACAGACATCCATTCTTAAGAGGCAGCTCCTGAGGAAGCATATAATATTGCATGCCTGCGCAATGAAGCTCTCAGTCAGAAAAGGGTAAAAATAAAGAAAGCATTAAATCTCTCAAGTGAAACAACTGCAGTTGTGTTGAACAGTCCGAAGACATTATGAGGAGCAGTGTTGATGCAAAGTTGCGGATTGACTGAGGATATCAAAGCCTGCCGTGTATTGGAATTGCGACACGTAATTTCGATTGCGACCACAGTTTACTTTGAAGTAAACATCCGCAACTCCAATCGCAGGAGCCGCATCCAAAATGGAGTGCTTCGATGTTGGTCTTTCAAAATGATGCACTCTACAACCGACGGTTTCGTCTGTATGGATATTTCAAATGAGGAGAGCCATAGCCGAGAGTGGAACTTAGCGCGCAGTGGTTGGCGGCAGGAGCTTTGATCACGTGGACACTAAACTTCGCGAGCAACACTTGACACAATCAAGATATGTGTCGTACGTGTTACATGATTCCATGCTAATGTCCGAAGAAACGTGTGGATGAAGTGACATCAACTTTCTCAGGGCGCGGAATGGTTAGCATGTAGGCTCAATGGTTGACTAGCCAGATGTGGTACGCAACTCAGAGGAGTTAAAGCCACCATGGACACCGTGTTCGATGTAAGCTCTTGCTCGACTGATTGATTAAGTCACTGAAAACATGTGTACAATTATCGATTCAGCAGGGCCTAGCGCGTTGAGGGCGCAATAGACATTTTTGAGGAACGTATGGAGAGACGGAGTAGTAAAAAATCCGAAGAGATAAAACAGCAAACATCGAATTTGCCAGATAAATCTTTAGTAATGCAAACTTATTACTGCAACTTACCCGATTAATCAGTTCGTGCATGACCACTTTGGGGACCATATCTCGTTGGGTTTTGTTTACGATCTTCATATAGGAATCAACCAAATTGCAGATAATTTCAACCTGTCGTGCCAACTTCGGATCTTCGCTAAGGTTTGGTTCTCCGTCGCCCTGGTAGAGCAAGAATAAGAATGGAGTTGGAAGGTTGACACGAGCAATGTGGCGTAGAATGATAATCTACAACAAGATTGACGACAACCACAACAAATGCTGTACGCCGGTAATCCCCACTGATGTTTTGGAGACACAATGCTCATATTAACAGGGAACAGTGAAATGGAAAACAGGAAGTTAAATACGGAACTAAGATACCATTAGTAAACAAGTATAGCCAACAACGCACGGTTGCAAACAATCAGCCATATGGCGAAAATAGGGAGGGTCTCAAAGAAACAGATTCCCTATGGTTTCATTGCGCGGAATCGTATTGAACCTAAACTCTGACGTAACCTAGCATGATACGCATAGCAAGCAGATAGCATAAGTAGAAAACGACAAGCACGCTAGTCGTGCCGGTAGAGTCCCAAACAAAAATGTAGGAGCAACCGCGAGCTTAGCTGAAGATCGGAAATAATGATGAAGATGGTTCGTATAGGTCGTATCCAACAGCCTCCAAACACATCAACCGTGGTATATATATATATATATATATATATATACATATATATATATATATACATATATATATATATATGTATATATATATGTTTATATATATATGTATATATATATATATGTATATATATATATATATATATATAATGAGTTGATAATCGGAATGATGACATTAAAGGTGAAACAGTCGAAGAGAATAAACGTAATGTTCTGAGTGTTGCACTGGTCTGAGCGGGATGCGAGTTTGCTACTACCATACAACCAAGAGACAAAAGGAGAATAACCCTGAACAACGGTGCAGAACAATTACAACAAGGTAGATAACAATGTGTGAAAGGATACGGTCTAAATCCCTATAGTAATTGGACACAGGAGGCGCGTACCAATAAAACGCATCAGCAGTACGCCACACTAAGTGACCACCAACAGCCATGCACTTAGAGTCACAAGACAGACACCTCATCCTTCCGATCACAGGCCGATGTAAATTAGGGTATAAAAAACGGGCACTTGTAAAAAGCCTGACTAGTAACTGACTTAATGTACTTGCAGAGCAGGTTAGAGGAGCAAAAGGAGGACTAACAGAAAGTCAATGTGTGCCAACGGACCGATTTTCACGGTGTTTGCGTTGAAAACAAGGCAATGAGATAGGAAATTACATGGCGGGGCCAGACCCTGTTCAGAGTATAAAGACAGTGAGTCTTGATATCCCCCTAGGAACGCCAGCATCCTACTGGATCCAGTATCCGAGACGATGGTACCGGAAAGCGTAAACACTGTCAACAATCGTGTCAAGCACAAGTAGGCCTGACGAGTTACTCGGGGACAATCGGCCAGCACATAACAATGATTCAAATGTAGCCAAGTCGAAATGATAAGGGAAAACGCCCGTTTCGTCAGTCCCCGTCACGATACCGCACAACGAGAGTACGGGGTCAGCATAATCAGTTACTGCACATTCCTTCGTATGGTTCGGGAGAAACACCATAAAGGAAAGCGGAAGGAATGGGGCCAGCAGACTTCCAGATTATGGACATGCACAACTCATCGAGTAACTTAAAAACATACACTACTGTTCGAAGATAAAGAAAATGTTATCAACGAAATAAATAAGTGAACCTGGTATAAGCTATCCTGTTATTTCGCTCTTTGCTAAGTGCGCACCCAAGATGTCGTGCGTCACACACTGGTTTGTTTCAACTCGATGTGGTGTCAGCGAAAAAGTGGACATCAGGAGAAGACGAGTTACTGTTATCAGGATACAGCTAGTGTGTAGAGCGAACCAACGAGCATGATGTAACTAGGCGACAATTCGTCCAAAAGCAATTTTCATTTGCAATGCGTCTACAGGAGACATCTAAGCTGTGCTAGCGTGATCTCAACACACTTCCTTAAGCGGAAATCGCCGTGCGTGTTGAGACGACTAGTCAGATATCTGATAGCATGGGTGAAGCAGCCAGAAACGAAGCGGATATTCGTAATTGCAAAGGCTCTACTGAACTAGTGTTTGCTGCTGACGAACATGCCTCCATTTATAGTGAAAAGCGTGATATTAACGTTGCCAGTGCATATATGCCACCGGATAGATGACCAGTTTCCACATTCTTCCCTCAGGGGGACAAATCATGGTGAGAAAATCAGTCAGTGGCACATACATGAGAGTTGTTAAAAACCAGTCATGATGCATTGGAGAAGTTGGCAGGTTTCTAAGTGAAATCATGGAAGTGGATGAAAAGTTGAATGAAAGTAAGTAGATCAGTAACACATACAAACTAATACAAATGATTGTAGTTGTGAAGCCGGTAAGTCAAAATGAAGCGAAAAGAAGTTCGGTGTATGTAATAGCATCCACGTTAGCTGGGACCATACGTACATACACACAAATCATACCATACAGACACCAGTTGCTATACCAAAACGCGTTGCGGGACTTCGTTAAAGTCACGAGAAAGAACATAGAGGTGGATGGCCTGAAGACATTTGATCGAAGAGTGATCACCAAGTCACTTGTATGGGCGAAAACGTGAGAAGAGGCGAGAAAAAGCAAAAGGAATAGGGGAGCAGAGTTGACATAGATAACGCGGTAGCGGACACTCACGGGGTAAGCGAAGTTGATCTGGCGAGAAACGAATCGCTCGTTCGAATACACAATCGGGTTAACTTAAAGAAGGTTGTCAAAGAGGTGGTACGAAAGGAAGTGTTTGATACGGTTAAGTAATGATGGAAGATATCCCAAAAAGTAAGATTTCGTTAGGCAAGGAAAACAAGAGGCATTACCAGGTGAGGGTTAGACAACCATTCCTCGACACTGTCTAGTGTTCGTATTCTCAAGATATCCGATGACCAATTAAGAAAGGGGATGGGTCATTGCAAGGTCACAACGTGTACTCTATAAAGTGAAAGTCCACCTCATCGTTAGACATGAAATAACCAGATGCTGCCATGTATTCGCGCAATTACGCTAATAAAGCAACACATCCTCGACTCAAGTGAAAAGTATTCAACTAAGCCAACATACATCACGTCACAGTTATGCGGTAAATTTCAATTAAACCGAGAAACTCCACCGAAACAGTTGAAAATTGATCAGCGCTGTTCGTGGAACCGGTCGTCTCGGTGATGCGATATAGAGAGTTAGTGTTAAGTCGGTAATCGATGGGTGCTCTGGTCGCTGAGAACACAAAACAGATGCACGATCCGGGGGGATAAATCGAATTGAGAACGCGGGGCTTAAGGATGAATAAGTCAGATAAAATAAAGGAATCGCACGCCTCCAAGTTGATTAGCTGATTGTCGGAAAGTAAGTCACTCTCCGTATCCAGGGCAGAAAACAATGAGTTTGCAAAAGTAGGTGAACTATTCAATAACTGATGTAACACTAAACACCAAACCTCATATGGACCTTAAAACATTTTATAACTCCGAATGCAATAGACTTTCGCTCAGTAGTAGATGAATGAGAGTAGTTCCCTGACCGATATGTCCATTAGAAGTGCATCACAACTCCCCATACTTTTCCTACCTCACTCAGTCAATGGACAGAGAACTGAAGTAGCAAATGCCAGTAACGCGGGTGGCAAACCATATCACGCAAAGCCAGCGAAGGAATGGGGAAACTAGCCATCATGTCATGTAAAGATTTTGTTGAGCAAATGTACGATAAATGGGGCATGGTGGTGACAGAATAGTGAAAACAGCGGAATGAGAGTGGAACGCGGTTGGACGGACTTGACAGAATCGCTCAGGATAGGAAGGCGCTGTCCGCGAGGAAATACCCTAAGTGAACACACACACAATTTGGATGGGTAAATCGAAGTGAATGACATCAAGCACATAGCGTGAACGAGACAGAAAATCAACTCAAAATCAGAACGAAAAAAATTTGGGACGCATTTTGGTGTCACTCAGTCTTAACCTTGCATTCCAATGGTTGGAAAGATTGTGGTCTACGAGGAGTGTTGAAAAAGGAACCGAACTTTTGGCAAAGGGAGACAACTAGCAGAGGGTGCGTGCTGCGGCTACTAAGCGCAGGTGGAGGCATGCTTAGATAACAAACTGCCACTTGCCGCATTTCGTTTTCACTTGGTTGGGGATATACAGTCGCTGTAGTGAACACGTGTAAAAGCTGATCGTCGGATTAGTGCTAGAGACAATAAAATTGCTTAAAGAACAACGCGTACGGGCAAAATGTTGCTACAAACTTGGCAAAACTTTTGCAGGGACGTTTCAATTGCTTAGCATACGAAGAGGACTGTTTAAAAGACGCATGAAGTGCTATGTGTGGTTTAAGTGTTTGGACACGGTAGAATGTCGGTCGGTGACGATCGCAAGCCTGGATGATCTTCCACTTCAACAGATAATGACCATGGCGATAGAGTACTTGCGGTAATCTTTGGAAACCGTTGTTTAACTGTGCGAGAAGTTGCTAACGAAGTGGGCATCAGCGTAGGACCACGCCATCGAACTCTAGCGCGTTTGATGGATGCTGTGCACAGGAAGAGGCCTGAACTATAGGAAAACCAGACTTGGATGGTGCATCATGACAATGCACCGGCTCACGCATCGCTTCTTTTGCGCAGCTATGTAGCAAAACATCACGTCTCGTTGTGCTCCATCCGGACTTAGCCTCTGCAGACTTGTTTATGTTTCCTAAACTTAAAATCATGTTGAAAGGATGTCACTTTCAAACCATAGAGGAGATTCAGAACAATGTGACAAGAGCCCTGCGCGCCACCCAAGAAAGTGCGTTCCAGGAGTCTTTATAAAAATGGAAGCACCGTTTGGTACGGTGTATTGCTAGTAGCGGGGACTGCTTTGAGGGGATTAGTGCTTAAAATGATGTGCAATGAGCAGTAAATGTGTCATAACAAAGTTCGGTTTCTTTTCAAAAACCCCTCTAATTTCGCATCAAACCACGCGCTCATATCAGAGTGCATGTTACTAGTTAAACACGCAGCAGGTAGCCAAACCTCATGAAAAAGATAACTGATCACTGTTAGCCGCAAGGCAAATCGTAGTAGGAGATCAGAATTCCTGCAACAATCCAGTTACAGAAGGGGTGCTCCAATCAAACCATCGAAGTAAGTAGTGGGGGGGTGGGCTGAAGTTCCAGGGTCCGTCACAGGATCGCATACTCGCCGTTACCTAGGAAAGCACATGTTAACAATGCCATTGTCGCTCATATCACAAGCAGCTGTGTCAGAATTCCATAGGACTCGAGCGGATCTGCAAAGTACGCTGCGATCAAACATAAATATGCGGATCCGGTCATCGTCTCCAAAGGTGACGCGCTAAGTGCCGTAACATCAGTTGGAGGTGCGCATAGGGGCTGCCAACTCAGTGATGTAGAATTATGGTCACCTTCCCATTCGTGCAGTAAGCTAAGAGCAGGGTTGTGGAACGCATCGACCACAGTGCTTGGGTCAAAGAATCCAAAGACGGCAAAATGCAACAGGGTATAAAAAGAGATCGTAGTTACACAAAGTGCGAAGAATTGTGTTAGATACCGCGTACAATTCCGCCGATTGGCTTTGAGACCCATGGATAAGCAGAGAAACAAAACCTCTCACAACAAACGCGGATTACATGGGAAGCCGGAGTGGATAAGTAGTTCGTCCACATGGGTGAATAAAGATTAATTTAACTTGATTCGATACGGTTCATTCAACAAATCAATCTCAGCGAAAATGACAGCCTAACTGACTAGCTCGCTTTTAAGACTAACGACGCCTCTGCATTCGTGGGATTCGTTTTTTGCTTCGATCGAATAAACTCATTCTAGAGAAGCCAGCGCAGTCCAATCGTATGTTTTACTGGTTTGCAGTAATGTAACCCTTTGCTTCCTCCCCTAAATACGCCTCGTCCCTTTGACTGCATATTCACACCACAAAGTAGCGTGGGTAAACACAGTTGCGGATAGTCGGTGGGGCACAGTGGAATGGAAATAAACTGCGTAATGACATCTTAAGCGATTAAGCAACACGAAACTCAGCTCGGAAAGACATGCGCAATACAGTCGTGCCTAGTCTGAAATCCTAATTAGGGGCGAAATTGAAAATTCAACATAGTGACACGAATGTTACGAAATACGACCCAAGCGACAACTCCCTATGAGGAACTAACTAGCTCGAGAGAATCAAGTCAAGCTGAATGAACCACTGATTTCGTTCGTAGGCTGTATCGACCGGAACACAGACAAGGAGATGGCCAAAAATTGACTGTGGTCTTAGTTGTAGTCCCGCACGGTTTATCACTTAGTGGGAGCCTACCCTTGATTAGCAACATCACTTGACCAGCAATTTGATGATGCGAGATAACGGTAAGCAAAATTAATTTCGGTCAGCGGGAGAATGCCATGTTCGGCAGTGGGCACTGACAGCTGCTATCATATCCAAGAAGGAGAAACATCATTCGAGGAATGGACGGAACAATGATGGCAATGGTAGCATACCAGGGTAATTGAAGTAAGGGCAACATTATGAGCAACGGACGTTTGTCCTGTAGCTCAATTTTCAGAACAGCAGCGCTGTCTCACATAGTTGCGACAACTGCCATCTAGTGTAAAACGGTAGGAGAATACAGCTCGTTTCCAAGCAGAAGATTAGCCAACTTGAAAAAAACCAAGCAAGTTCATGTATGTGGGATACAGCTCTTACGAGGTGAAAGTCGATGCGCCTACGCGTGCGCGACAATTGAGAATCGCTAGCGCTCACTGAAACCTAAAAATAACAGATGATTCCTGACCAATAGCCGTTCCAAGTCAACAACTTAGAGGTAATGCGGATGGGTTTCATCCGAACACCCCCAAAGTTGTTCACACTAAGAAGCAAGCCAACAAAGGCCGCTTCAATTACGGTGAGCAGCAGCCCACTAGGTAGTGAGAATGGGGCAATATTAACGTGGACGGAGGGAATGGGTAGTAGTGCACGGGGGGATAGGCGATCAGTAAAGTGAGATTGGGGACAAACGCGGAATAAACCAGATGTCACACAGTCAGGCGTTGAGAGATAGTGCAACAGTGTGACGGATAATATCACACATGAGTCGGTGCGTTCAGGCGAGCACACCGGATGTGAAGTGTTTGTTTTTCGATTGAAAAATTGTAGTTGTAGTCCCGCACGGTTTATCACTTAGTGGGAGCCTACCCTTGATTAGCAACATCACTTGACCAGCAATTTGATGATGCGAGATAACGGTAAGCAAAATTATTTTCGGTCAGCGGGAGAATGCCATGTTCGGCAGTGGGCACTGACAGCTGCTATCATATCCAAGAAGGAGAAACATCATTCGAGGAATGGACGGAACAATGATGGCAATGGTAGCATACCAGGGTAATTGAAGTAAGGGCAACATTATGAGCAACGGACGTTTGCCCTGTAGCTCAATTTTCAGAACAACAGCACTGTCTCACATAGTTGCGACAACTGCCATCTAGTGTAAAACGGTAGGAGAATACAGCTCGTTTCCAAGCAGAAGATTAGCCAACTTGAAAAAAACCAAGCAAGTTCATGTATGTGGGATACAGCTCTTACGAGGTGAAAGTCGATGCGCCTACGCGTGCGCGACAATTGAGAATCGCTAGCGCTCACTGAAACCTAAAAATAACAGATGATTCCTGACCAATAGCCGTTCCAAGTCAACAACTTAGAGGTAATGCGGATGGGTTTCATCCGAACACCCCCAAAGTTGTTCACACTAAGAAGCAAGCCAACAAAGGCCGCTTCAATTACGGTGAGCAGCAGCCCACTAGGTAGTGAGAATGGGGCAATATTAACGTGGACGGAGGGAATGGGTAGTAGTGCACGGGGGGATAGGCGATCAGTAAAGTGAGATTGGGGACAAACGCGGAATAAACCAGATGTCACACAGTCAGGCGTTGAGAGATAGTGCAACAGTGTGACGGATAATATCACACATGAGTCGGTGCGTTCAGGCGAGCACACCGGATGTGAAGTGTTTGTTTTTCGATTGAAAAATATAAAGTAATGGTTGCATGACAGTGGAGAGGGAAAGCGGGTTAATAGTTGGGACTGATTGCGAAATGGGATCCATGCATGTACAAGAGGGTATGTCGAATGGAAGAAGTGAATGAAGAGTAGGTAAGGCGCGATACAACATGGAACGTGCGCAACTCACCATCAAGCTAAGAAAAATTGGGTACAGAAGTAGCCTGATCAAAAGTCTGAATGGAAATAAATGTGACATCAAACGAGACCGAATGCGTCCCAAGGTCAAGCAGCAGGGAATCAATGCACATAAATGGTAGAAGGAAGCGGAATCAACGGCTGAAAAAGAGTTCATCATTAAGCGATTGTTGCTGCTGCTAAATCTCGGGCGTGGCTATCGGTACCCAAGGATGATAGTGGACTTACGCGGACGGACAGTAAAGTGCAAGTTGTCCGATCAAACGCTGGCACATTAACTTTGTTCAGAGATGTCTTCAAGTTTTCGGATGTATGGCAAACAGGGTATATGAGGGCAGGTGCTTCGGTGAAGTACATAGTAGTAGGCTCGTATTGTCTGGTTTGATACTCGATGGTAAGAATCTATGACGTGGCTGTCTGGGAGACGCTTAAAAACCCTACCTGTGGTAAAATGATGGTTCGCAGTAGATTTTCCTCACCGCTACGTAGGAAAAGCATGGCAGTGAGCCAAAGTTGAAAATCAGTGGTAGATGGGCACCATCTGTGAGACCATTGACCGCAGCTGAAGGTGATTAACGAAAGGGATGAAAGTGGCCCGTGACGTGTGGTATCAAATAAGTACAGTGCAGGCGGCAGAATAAACGAACCAGAAATTGAATCCAGGGTTCGATGCGGGGGTAACGGCTACTGGTTTTAGCTATCCAAACTAAGTGATAAACTGTTGGAGACTGACTTCAGTTAAGTGATAAACTGTTGTTTTTCTATCGTCCAAGAGTGGCCGAGGGGTGGTGCAAAAGTATCCTCTTTCCAAGCTACAAATGGACTTGTTACCAGGCTGATAACGACGGTTCCGTGGATCATGTGAGTAGTCACCTAGAGTTTTAAGTTCCACTCAATGAAGATGATGAATCGAATGGTGGCTACAATAACCGATGAATATAAGATACCTGGAACGGCGAATCACATAAACACTGTTTACTATTTCACAGTTCGCGGACGCGATTTTGGAATTGATAACCAATGAAACACGTGTGGTATGGTCTTAACGTTTTTCGCAATTCAAGTATGTCAGCTTTCAGAACTGTGTGTCTATTAATAGCCCCCAATGTAAGCATAATAGAGTACAGGGGAACGTCGAGAGATCTTGATTAGAGCTAAATGTAATAATGCTAGAATTAATCCTGCCAAATGTGGTCAATGAACGAGAGAGGAAGAAAATACCACCAAATCAAGAGTCTGTCTGGTGGCAAATAATTGTGCAGGATAACACAAGTTGGTAACCAAAGATACACTTTATTCATCATACAACAGGACCTACATGGTAGGAAAAGACTAAAAGGTCGAAAAATGGGAGATTGTGAGATCAGAGCCTACGACACGACTTGATCACTTTGTGCCAAATGTTAACTTATGTAATGTCATTAAGAATGTGTGTCCTGTACAAAATGTAGCAACCTCAGGACGTGTGTACTGAATAAGCAATTTCAGCGAGGCAGCTAGAATGCATTTTCATACTATATGAGCTGATTCACCAAGTCCACGGTCAAACAACAGTCCACGAGAAGGATAACCAAACAAGTGGCAAACCGTGTGCATGGATATCACGATTATGGTGTCGCATATTCGGTCGTGGTAAAGCAACTGATGGACAACTATGAGCAAGTTAGGCGGCTGTAAAGATGCTTATGAAGAAAACAAAGCGCTAAAGCATTTAAAATGTCTACCAAAAAAGCAAAAAAATTTCGGTCAAAAAGAGGGAATGACTCTAATGAGAAATGAGCAAGTATACTCTTAGCGGCTCACTTACCCCGTCGTCATCCTTTTTCGATGTCTTTTCAGGATAAACTCCCGCACGTAATAGAGCTGCCTTCCAAGCGTCTACAGCCTCTTGGGTATCAGCAGACAGGTCGAGTGTTTTGTAGTCTTTGTACACGTTCACTTTGGAGTCCGGGTGAAACAGAACAAACGTGGAACGTTTGGAGAAGAATCCAGTGTCACCTGAACGCTGCCTGAGGCCTTCCAACTGAAGCACATATTTTGATTCGCGCTCCTGATACATGAATAAAATGGCGGGGTGGGGAGGGACTGCAAGTGATACGACACAACCTTGGTAAACATTGACAAAACAAATAAGTGCAGAATGGGAGTTAAGACAAAAGAACGTCACTAGTCATCAAAAGACCGTATAAATTAGTCGACTAGTGCTCGAGTTATGGCAAATTTGGAGTGGGAGTAGATGTTGTCTTTAGGATAATATGCTGCTCTAACACTGACACTGTTATCAAACTAATCCACTAATTGATAAGACGCTCCAGAATTCACCGAGCTAAAAAGGATTAAGTTGGTGTTATGAGAAATCGAAAGATAGGAATAAGACACTTTATACTCTAAAGCACAGATGCCGGAGTAAAAATAGATACCCACCTCATCATCCTTGTACCAACGCAACGTTTCAGCAGTCAGAACAAACCAAAAGTAACGACTGCCTCCACGGAACACATTTGGGTTGACCCATATTAGCCAACCTTTACAGATAACCTGGGGAGAGAAGAATTAAGGTGGTGCGGAATCAGGGCTAAATCAAAACAAAACAATCATCAGGCTCTCTGGACACATGAAATTAAAATTGAAAAAGCCCGCCCATTCAGATTGTCGGATCGTTACCTTAGTCCCAGCATGAGCTGCTACATGCGATGGACCAACTGTGGACACTGGATTGAAGATCACAAACCCACACGTTTACATAATGAGAAGGATAAAAAGTCGACGAAAATTGGGTTCGCTAATGGGGTGAACGCTTGGATGAATCCTCGTAAAGTCATTAGACAGAAACGGATGGGAGTGCAATCATTAGTCGTCTGAGCTATTCAAACTAGTCATGAAAAATTACCTAGCCCAATGCGCCAGACTGAAAATGTGTGCACTTAGACTACTAGGTAGTAGTATAAAAACTAGGAAGATAAATTAGACGCTAAGTGTAAACATGCTAGAATAATACATGGGTGCAAGAATGGGGTGAACATATAGCAAAATGCACCGATCGCCTCGTAATGGAAATTTCATTCACTTTTACTCAGCATCTCGGACGAAAACCGAGTGTTTGGTGTCAGTACCGAAGCGTATGGAATAAAGCTGAGACTACTCGAGTCACCATAACAACAACAAAAGTAGTGGAAGCATGAGAGAAAATGCAAAGCTGTACCGAACGGAAGGGATTGGGCAAAAAGAGTACAGTAAATAAACAAAGTTGCTTTATTTCCTCAAATCACGCGCATGTTCACACGAATGATCTCGCCGTGGTCTATAATGAATGGTAGGCAAAAGGTGTTGTAGCAATGTGTTTGGTAATCGCACAAACGGACACAAAATGAAATTGATCAAGATGGTGGGAAGCAAAGGGGAACAACACTTGCATACCTGATTGCCCAGTTTGGACTTGCCAGAGTCCGTGGCCTTCTGCTCAGCACTGAAAGTACACAAGAAGTAAAACATCGTTAGAAGCGTTATAATCTTGCAGGAGCTGAGAGCTTGACGAAACGATGACCACGATAGAACGACGAGGCAATCGACACATACATCCATTCCACATGAGACCCAACTATGTCTTCAGCCGTAGTGAAATAGGCGGTAGACTTTTGTCACCTTAGGCACCTGCACTACATCAGGCTGCTGGATAAACCTATGGGTAATTTAATATCATCCAAGCCCTTCGACCATCGCCAATATTCCCAACAAAAACCGGCACAGTTATCACGAGTGTTTGACGCGATAACAAGGGAGTGGCGAGTCGGGAGAACAGTAACACGGAAGACAGTATGTTTTGTCGGAACAGTCAATGTGAGCGCAGCTGAATAAACCATGAAAAACCATCGAACTCTCAATGGTTTGGATCCAAATTCGAGTATGCGATAAGAGAGAGTGCGACGAAGCTGATCATAACAAAGTATCTGTCTGGGGATCAATTGGGCGTGAATAATGCAGCACCGGTAGCGTGCTACGCAAGGACGAAGAGTTGTGCCGAGGACTGACGGTCAAGCAATTACGGGAGTGTGCGAAAAATGGAAACTGAAACATCCTAATAGGTAAGAAAGCGGTGAATCTCCTCTATTGGTAGATGGCGTTTAAAAGCTGAAAAAGCTAACGAACAAGCTTTGGTCCCTTAGTTGCAGAGAGTGAAAGCACAAATTTGGTGAGAGAAAACGAGTCACACTAACACTGGTCAAAAACATTAAGTTGCAAAAAGCGGTGCAATTACGGATCGAATCCGAAAAGCCTTTTTTATATGAGGACCACGAAAATTAAAACTCTGATCATCGGGGGAGAAACGAATGCGCAACAAAAACAGGAAACGCCTTTCAGAACACAAAAGACCGATTCGAACCGAAGATGACAAACGTGTGAAGTGATTTCCTGGATGATATGACAGTTGTGAGTTAGGAACACAGAAGTATGTTGGTCCAAATGAGCTCAGGTAAGAAAGTGATTCGGACCTGAGCACCAAGGTAACGATGCAGATGAAAGACGATGTGGGAACTATGCAGATTCATAGCGTGTATGACATAGAAAAGCCGAGTGAACTAGGCAAAAGTGTCGCTAGGAAAGAAAGTAACGTTGGTCAAAAGCATTTTCGGAAGAAGCAGACGCAAAGAACATAAGATAGAGCCAAAACCATACGACTCACTTTCTGAAACCGATGAAATCCTCATGATTTGTGTTGGTGTATGCGAGCTGGAAGTTGATTAAGGTCTGAATTTGTTCCCGTGTGGCGACTTCTAATTCTCGGATACGCGTATTCACTAAACGGACGATTTCGTCGCGTAGGAGGGGATAGCGGGCGATCTGGGAGTCAGGGAAATTAAGCAGATTATACGTAGTTACTCTGTCAGTAGAATAAAGAAAGCAAAAACTCACATGACCAGAAGTAACCCGATTCACTTCATCCATAGGGATCAGCAACAAATCAAACAAATCACTGATGCTGCTGAGCACCGTCTGCTTTCCTACTGACATTCCGTATGTGAATTACGGAACGAATAGGGACGATACGTAACACATTCGAATTGCAACAAGCAACGGGTAGAGTGAACATGAAAAAGTCGCTTTTCCCGTTGTAAATTTAAAGATTGCCGATGGCGTCTACAATCTTCACCTCCACCTACGCATTCCACATGTACCACTTGTCCAAATTGCGCCCAAGCTACCGAGTCACTCAAAATGCTAACTTCCAACACATATAGCCAAGGATCGGTCACCAAGAAAACTGTAAATTCTTCACAGAATAAACTGGAGATGGGATATTGGGATGCTCGCGAACTGCTGCGACGAATGCATGGGAAAGAAAGAAAATGGCAACATATGCACGCCAGCTCAGCCCCAGAAACGGATGGACATCGTTTCGGAGAGTCATTAGCCGGTCATTGGGCCGAACAAAAGTGATATCACGCGTTAGAAATAAGATCGTGGTTAGAGAAACACGCAACACAAACGCCACCTAGGTTGGCCCCTAGCGATGTCAACATGTGCCCAACCAAACGTGTTCATTGTCTTTCGGGCCGCACAACCAAGGGGCCGACAAGCTCCAACTGGGGCAAACTTCTAACTAAACGGCTTCATTTCTCCTGACCAAGTCATCGCTTGACCTCCTCTCCTCTTATCCCATTCACATCCGCGGCGCGAAAACAACGCACGTCGCGGGAGCCGGTGGGTTGACATGCACAACACGTGGCCCAGCCATCGGAGCCTGGTGCGTGAAATAACGGTGCTGAGCGGTTCGCTTCTTGTTCCTGCTCCATAAACAAGGTGTCGAACACGCTCATTGCTCACTGCCAAACTGCGAAGGCACCGGTTGTTGAGCGTAACTAGCCTCTTTACGTCTGCCGATCTAATTTGCAAGGTTTCACAACCGTACAGTAGGGTCGAACGTACCGCAGCGTTGTACACACTACCCGTCAGAGAGAGAGAGAGAGATCGCACCGGCATCATAGGTGACAAACGTTAGCAAAAGTGTCTCGAGCTTTGCTACACGGTTCGTGACCTCCTCTTCGATTCCACGAGCGCTGATAAAACTGCCAAAGTAGAAGAATTTCTGAACGACTTCGAGCTGATCCGCACCAACGGTCAGCGCAGGAGGCGGTCTCTGCCAATCGTGGAGGAAAGTTTTGCACTTTCGGGGTGCAAAACAAATCCGAAGCGGTTGACAACCAATGGTAATTAATCTACCCCGGGCAACTTGGCACGTTTATGAGCTGTAACAGATGAGGGTAATGTAGTCAGTCAGCCATCGTGACGAGACTGGACCTTAACGTGGTGTGATGGTTTGGGCGCCTCAATGATCCATTGAGCTATGCTGGGTGGTGTTTTTCGCACTTTCAGAGCCACTCATACCAGATTGGTCAATGGTTAGAGGCCAGACAAACTCACCCTCCTGGCCCCCCAGATTGGGGGTTGGAGTCAGTGTGCCTCCTTACTCCTTAAAACGGGCTTTCTGTAGCCCAGTGTAAACATCCCACTGCCTTATGGTAAGGCTTTTGAACCAAGGGCTTTGGTTGAGAACCCTAATCATTCACCTGTCTAGGTCTGGGCAACCTGACAGTATCCTGCCCACGCAATACTATGAATCCTTCGTCAAACAATTTTTTGATGCTCTGGCCGTCGAAGAGGATAATCAACTGCGCCCTATCTGCTGCATCGAACAGAGTGGATAGGGGTTTGAATGCTACTGCTCAGGCTTTCCCGTCTTCTTATCCCCATTCTTGTGCTTCTTCATCCTTATCGTCACGCTCCAACTGTACTTTTACCCCCCATTGTTAATCCCCCAATTCTTCGCCCTCCCCAGCTTGCTTCAATAGTCGCTTGTCTTCTAGTTTCAAATCACACACAGTCGCAGGGCCTCGCTCCAATCCAGTCGACAAGCCCATATTCAATCAAGCGGACAAGGTCGGGTCATCCTTTTCCCTTTGGAGTCCTCGAGTCTCGCTAAGACTGGCATGCCTCAAAGTGTGCACTCTGCTGCAGATTGGCCAACAGGCAGCACTTGGCCGCACACTAGAGACCCTATCGATCGAGATTTGCTGTGTATCAGAAACGCGCCTGCAAGATTCAAGCTCCGTGCTTACTCTGCGATCCCTCACATGCGACACTGGCGGCACATTCTCAATGCGCCTGTCTGGCGATGATGCAGCTTCAAATGCCGGTCAAGCTGGCGTCGGCATTGTTTTGATTCCCCGAGCTGAAGTTGCCCTGATCAATTGGATCCCAGTCAACAGTCGGATGTGCGCCATTAGAGTAGCTGGTTCGTTCCATGCTACGAAGTCGCGCGGGGACAAATGGTGCCTGTTCGTCATTGCGGCTTACGCCCCTACAAAATGTAGCACTGACTCGGTAAAAGATGGTTTCTATCAGCAACTGCACGAGCTCCTTCGTTACAGAAGAAACACGGATACTGTGGTGTTGGCTGGTGATCTAAACGCCCAAGTCGGCAAATTGTCCTATGATGAGCTTCAGTTGGGCGGTCAACATGGTGTGGGCTCTTTTACTGATAACGCTGAGCGATTGCTACAGCTGTGTGAACATGCTCGTCTCTTTCTCTCGAGCACAAACTTTCGACACACCACCCGCAGAAGCGCGACTTGGTGCCCACCAGTCTCGAGCCAGCCATGGACGCAAATCGATCATATCACGATCAGTTACCGCTGGAGTGGTTGCATTCAGAACTGTCGCTCGATTTGGAGCACGAGCGTGGACTCTGACCACGCACTTGCCTGCGCCGAACTCCGAGTGCGTTTCCGTGGACGTCCGCAACGTCGATGTGAACGGATTGACACCAGTCAGCTAGCGAAGCCAGGTGTTCTGAATGTATACCATAGTGCGCTGACATCCGGGCTGAGTAAGGGCCCACTGAACACCGCCGAAGATCACTGGTCGCATATTCGTCAAACATTACTATCAGCGGGCATGTCTTCATGTGGCAAAGTAAATTGCAAAACTGGACATTGGGTCTCTACACAGTCTCTGGAAGTTATGGATGCTCGCCGACGTATTCCGGCTGGAAGCGAATACAATGAGACTCGCAAAAATCTCAGCAAAAATACGTGCTAGCCTGAAGTAAGACCGCGAAACCTGGTGGTCTCATCGTGCCTATGAGATTGTAACAGCCGCTACCGTTGGCAATCATAGTAAGTTATTCCGTCCGATACGGGAAACAGGCAGCAGGAGACCTAGAGTTAGCGAGACCATACGCGACGAGAGTGGGCAGCTGATCCACAGCCTGTCAAAACGCTTGGGCTGAACACTGCAAGGCAATTTAACCAACCTGAGTTATCGCTTTCTCCTTCGGGCATTGAGCGCCCTTCTCCCTGGGCCGTCTCCTTGGACCCGCCCTCACGCGCAGAAGTCGAACGTGAGATCAGGCTGTTGAAATTGCATAAAGCCGCAGGGGCAGATAGAATTCCCTCAGCCCTCTTCAAATTCGGGGGACCTGCTCTAATAGATGATTTACACGAGTTGGTAGTGAAACTTTGGGAGCAGAAGACTGTCCCGACAGACTGGAACCGCTCCTCATTGTCCCAATTTTCAAGGGAAACTCCCGTTTAGAATGCGGCAATCATAGAGGGATCAGTCTGATTTCGATTGCCTCTAAATTGCTTGCGTCTGTCATTCTCCACAGACTGACTGCCACTCGTGAAAGCCAGATTCGTGAAGAGCAAGCCGGATTTCGTCGAGGTCGGGGCTGCATCAACCACATCTTCACCTTGCGTCAATTGTTGGAGCACCACCATGTTTATGGGCGACCCACCGTTGTCGTGTTTCTTGACATAAAATGTGCCTTCAACTCAGTCGATCGATGTGCCCTTTAGGACTGTCTGCTGGAGAAAGGTGTGCCTGATGAATACGGAAACATTAACAAATCGCTGTACGCTCATAGTTCGGGCAAAGTTGGGGTTTATGGCAAACTGTCGCCACCCTTCAGTATCACCAGCGGTGTGAGACAAGGTTGCCCGCTGTCACCTTTCCTCTTCAACTTCGCTATTGATGAAGTCATAGAAACAACGTTCGCTGGACACGACCTAGAATGTGTGGAGCTACTTCCTGGTGAGTGACTTATTGAGTTGGAGTATGCGGACGATATTGCCCTAATCTGTGACAGCCCCCAAACATGCCAAACAGCACTGGACCGATTAGCACTGGCTGTCAATCGTTTTGGGCTATGCTTTGCTCCATCAAAGTGCAAAGTACTTCTCCAAGATTGGCAAGGACCCACCCCTGCGCTGACCCTTGGTTGTGATCAGCTAGAAGTCGTTCAGAAATTCAAGTACCTGGGCAGCTATATTAGCGCCCGTGGGATCGAAGATGAGGTTACGAACAGTATAGCAAAAGCTCGATGTGCTTTTGCCAATCTCCGCCACCTGTGGCGCAGGCGCAACATTACTCTTGCCTTGAAGGGTAGAGTTTATAACGCAGCCGTCCGTTCAACCCTCCTGTACGGTTGTGAAACCTGGCCCATCAGGTCGACAGACATGAAGAGGCTCGTCACATTCGATCATCGCTGCCTTCGCAGCTTAGCTCATGTCTGGTAGGAGCACCGCGTGAGCAATGAGCGTGTCCGACGTCGCGTATTTGGTGCAGGAAGTGTTAGTGAACCGCTCAGCACCATTACATCACGCACCAGACTCCGATGGCTGGGCCAAGTATTGCGCATGCCAGTCCACTAACTTCGGCGACGTGCATTGTTTGCCCGCCGGGGGTGCGGTTGGAAGAGGATGAGAGGCCAAGCGATGAGTTGGTCGAGAGAAATGAAAACCCTTACTTCGAAGTTGGCGTCAGTTGGTGCATCCCGACTGCCTGACTGGGGTTCTAAGGACGATGAACACGTTTAGTTGGACACACTTGTTGATATGGCTAGGAGCCGTCCCCAATGGCGTTTGTGTTATGAATTCCTTTGCCCACCCCCTCCTGCTTAGCTTCCCACTCCAATCTCGATCTCATTCGCTAGGCATAATATAACTCTTTTTACGGCACGATAGTCGGCTGTTAGCTCTCCGAAACGATATCCATCCGTTACTGGGGAATCAGCCTGCGTGCCACTGTTGTATTTTTTCTTCTTGCCTTTAGTATTGCGGCACGATAGCTGAGGTGTTTTCGACTTGCTGCTAACGTGTATAATGATGATGATGAGTATAGTCAGTATACAAGTGAAGAAGTCCGCCACTCTAAGTAGTGTCCTGTGAACGCGATCTTAATGACTTTATCAATAGCGAAGTAGAAAAGAAAAGGTGACAACGTGAATACTTGTTTTACAACACGAGAGATATTGAAGGGTGGCGAAAGCTTGTCGTAAGCCCTCACTCCGCCTGAGCTGCGCGCGTAAAGCGCTCGCATAATAGTTACATACTCCTCGGGCACAGCTTTCTTTAGCAGACTGTTGCAAAGGGCACATCGATTCACCGAATCGAAGACACCTTTGAGGTAGAAGAACACGACAACGGTGGGCTGCCAGTAAACATAGCAGTGCTCCAACAACTGACGTAAGGTGAATATGTGGTCAATGCAACCCCGATTCCGACAATACTCGGCCTGTTCCTGATGCGGCTGGCTTACACGAGTGTCAGTCAATCTGTGAAGGAGGACAAAGGCAAGTAACTTGTAGCGATGGTGATCAGACTGATTTCGCTATGGCTGCTGTATTCCGAACGGAAGCCTCTCTTGAAGATCGGGACAATAATGGAGTGGCTCCAGTCGGTTGGGACAGTTTCCTGATCTCATACTTCCACTAATAACTTGTGTAAATCATCAACAAGAGCAGGTCCCCAGAATTTGACGCGGGCTGGGAGAAGATCATCTAGTTCATCGGCCCTATTTAATTACAGCAGACGAAACACACGTTCGACTTTTAAGCGATTAAATTTGATTTCAACGTGCTCAGCTCAATGCTCCAAGTGTTTTGACTAATTGTGGATTTGCTGTCCACTCTCGCCACGTATGGTCTCTCTAAGCCCAGATCTCCATCCGCCGTTTCGTGGATCAGACGGAATAACTTCTGATAACCAGTAAGGGTAGTGGCCATTTCCATCTCCGACGCAAGGTGAAAACACCAGGATTTGTGGTATCTCCTCGGGCTAGCATGGGGTTTTGCTCTGAGGTCTTTGCGAGTCACGTATTCACTTCCAGTCGGAATGTATCGGCGAGCATGAATACGTTCCAGAGACTGCGTACAGACTCAATATCCAGGTTGGTTATTTGATGTACCATATGACAGTTTCGAAGAACCTCATGGGAAAGAAAAGCCCAAATCCAACTCGAACTTTTGGTGAGTCACTTCCTACTAGGCTGCCATATCTTTGACTGGGCACATCGTCCAAATGGAAATAGTTTTGGCAAACAATAGGTGTGGAGGAAGTCGGATTGCAGGTATGCAAAGTAAGTGAAGGCAACCCGAGTCCAACGCGCGCTGTAACGAGGCACCGGCGGGTCTGCTGCCAAGTGGTGGACTTCCGTATCGCCCACTTAGTGTTCCAAGTACAGATATGGGCAATACGCTGCAGGCATTCAAAAACGGCTAGTCACCCTAGAAATCTTCAGCGTGTAGCAATTAGGATTCCGACCCATGCTGTAATACTGGTAGTGTGAACTGGTAGCACCAAGGCATTGGAAATTATTTGCTTAATCCCGTCGTCTCCACGAATAGCTGATATTCTGAAAAACCATACGTACAGTAACGTTTTTGGCAATACGGTTATCCAGAATAGTAAGCCAATTGAAAACACAGCAGAGATGTACCGTGATAATGAGGGCTGTAACAGTATCTTGAAGTCTGAAGGTGCAAAGCACAGGAAAAAGCATGCAGTGCACTGAGTCAACCTAATCAGCAACGTTTACACAGCGCTTGCGTACGACACAAACAATGTCATAATCCGGATATTTTAGGCTTGACACGGGGCTGTGCAGCGAAACACCGATCTTAGGCAAAGTAAGGTGCGGGAAGATCATTCATGAACACGATGATCAAAATGTTTAAGCAAAATGGCCAGCTGAGACAGTCCTGATGCACTTCACCTATTGTAGTGAACTCAAGAGAAGTCTTTCATGGATAAATACCTCCCCACAGGAGTTGACGCATAGTGATTTTAGAGTGGAGAATAAATTCTTCGATACACACTAAGGAAATAGACATCCTTCAAAAAGGCAAGAGTAACAAAATAAAAGGTAACTGTTAAGTCAAGGAAGATTACCATATTAGGCCGTTTGAAATGCTCACGTTTATGCATCGGCTGAACAATACACACTTTACCGCGGGGTGGCATTCACTGATTCGCCTCATATGAGGATCACCAAGTTGCTGTACGTCAGCAGCTTGGAAACCATAGAAACCAAAATGGGAGCAGGATAATTTCCGAAGAACGTCCTACGGGTTGTTTTTAGAGTTGACAATTGTTAGTTGTATGACACTTCCTCCTTGTGCTAAATAGTATCGAAAAGATAAGTCAATGCGGTTAAAAGTGAACCACTATTGTTCTTCAGCATCAAAGGCGTGTTGTTCCATCATATCAGCACAATTTTGTGTCAGAACCGGTGGACGGTGTGGCCAGATGAGCCAAGTGGCAACAATGTTACAGTGGGACTACCCTTCAAGACGTTCAGCCCAGTGTTTTATTCGAGGCAACTGTGTGTGAACCAGTTGTCCATCCTTCTAAGCCCCTGTCTTATTTACGTGAACCGATCTTGAAGCAGCGCGTCGAATAACACTCGCGTATCACCAATGGCGCGGGCGTCCTCCGCCTATGGTACCTGCCATCCATCAACGTTCCCGATAAATTCGTGAACTTCCAGCTATCAGTTGATGGTTTACCGGGCTATCAATTAAGATAATCCAAACTAAAGAAATCTGTCCATCACTCAAATGTTTCTAGCTGGGAGGTTAAGGGATCGCGATTGCTCTTCAAATTGTACAATGAAGGCGATTCTATTCTGCATTTGGTTTAGTCAACTCTTGTTCGTCAGTGATGGATGATGCTGCAGCTCAGACTAATATGAATGATTCGCAGGTTGTTTATAACCTGTAGACTGTTGCTTCCTATGAGTGAGTTCAAAATTAATAAGGTTACCGACGTCGACTCAACTTCCCAAGAGGATGCTGGGACTGAGTTTGTCTTAAATTTAACCAATGGCTTGTCTGGCATGAGCGGATCTGAAGAAAAGAGAGCGCATCATCCACGGTAAGTAAACCTCTACATCACGTTCAAGTCTAGTCTCCCTGTGATCCGAGGAGTAAAGATCCGAGACGTGAGTGTGGTTTGAAGTGAACATCATTTGGTGTCTGGTTCTTCAGCTGCACGTCTATTGAGAGCCTTTGTAGAACAGCACAATTTTCTAGTCACATTAAAGTCAAGGTGCTAACGGATATCGAGTCAGAAAAGCAACAGGTGACGCGCCGCGATGTTCAAAGAGAAAGGCCTAAGAACGATTGATTGACTCAACACGGTACCTTCCTAGTGTCAAGTCTGGTAGATACTCTGAGGAAAATGTTGCGATCGTTGAGTTGGTGTGGTACTTTATGAAGCAAGTCGTATAAAATAGCACTTCCGGGAATCACAGCAACGAAGACGGGTCATCCGAAGCATAATTAGACTCAGTCGATGTCAAGAGAACGGTTAACCGCGTACAAAACGTAGTCAAAATAGCAGCAGTATTACCACATCGGCAACGTGCATGCATATTTTGCCACCATGCAGCCGCAAGCAAACTATGATTCAGTGAAAGTGCTCAAACGGAGGCAAGGTGTGAACTGGAGCTCGGAACGTAGAGGCTGCTAGTTGGACATCTGAACCGCCATACTACGGAACAGGATAAACGTGAACTTGTTGTGTTTCTATGCATGAAAAGTGCAAAGCAACAGAACAGGCCACAGTCGTAGCTAGATACTGGAGATTCTTTTGCTGAATTCCATCATCGGTCACAACGCAAATCGGATACAAGTAAATATTATTGTACTCTCCGCTGCCTAACTCAGCACGCTACTAAAATAAGCTTGCATAAGTGAGGCATGAGTATTCCATAACAAAACGTGCGCTACATCAGAATCAAAACCGGTAAGGTAGCGCAAACTGGTTAAAATTCAGCCATCGATGCAGGGAAAAGAAGTTCCCATCACTCACTCGTTCGCTGCATGCGTGTACGACGTCTGTCAATTTGCCCACAACCAAATCGACACATCGCATGGACGGCGGCCTCAAAAGGTCAATAAGCCGCCGAACAGTGGCGTCGAAAGCTTTATCCGGTGTGAAGAGTCCTGGCCTACAAAAATTGTGGGTGAAGATAGGTGACTGGATAGGTAGAAACAAAGTGGAAAGATCAGTGGGAGACTGGTACAGTGACGACGGATAGCTAAAGCTAAGGGAGCTAGAAGGGAACAGGAAACGAAGTACGCGGAGAATAATGCATGTTGCACAGAGTCAGCTAGATAACATGAATTGTAACACATCCCTCGGATACTATCGTGACAAAAGTTGAGAAGAAACGTGACAGTTGTCCACTCTAATTGTTTCTTCATCAGATAAACCAGTCTGTAGAATAATCTAGCATCAACAATCGGGTCACGTGCAAAAGAGAGACCATCGCGCATGAATGTTGAAAGTTTCATGCACCTGAGCTCGATAATGATCAAGTTTTCATCGGGATAGTCGCCGAGTCAGTTGATGCATGACGGAAAGAAAAATGTGCAGTTGGTGGGAACTAAAGTTACATTACGTGGAAATTCAAGTAAGAATAAAATCCGTATACATGTAATGTAAAAAGAGTCCATTGAGTAGAGACATTGAGCCAAGCGAAACCATGGAAATAAATGGAACATGACAGGTACAATCGCTGCACCATCATTACCGTGACACATTAGCTGAAGGTGAGCAACATACTTCAGCTATTCTGCTGCAAGAAAAAAAAACGTTAAATACTTCGATATTTTGTACACGCCATTTCAACGTGTTCTTCACCTTTTCCAACTGACAAGTATTAAGCATCTGGGTGCAAACATCATCATCGTTATCAGCAGCAGTATATCAGCCACTTGAGTTGATGCTTTGCTGCCGTACAAGCACGGTGACCTACGGAAGGAAGAACAATAAGAGGGAGAGAAGAGGGACCTACCGCCAACCAACCTTAATGCCCTAAACAAACACTCCGGGTTAAGGCAACTCTACATCTTGTCAACAACATGGTGTCACAAACAGCTCGCTATCGTACAAGGATAAGGGGACACCAGTGAGAAAACTTCCCTGCGGCTTTCACTGCCCCGCGTCATAATCAGCCATTGCGCCGCAGATAACCCAGCACCAAACACACGTTAAGCAGGCAGTCCGACTAGGAGACGGCAGCAGACACGCCACTGGTGCCGACTGCGAGCCATGTCCTGTAAAGTCTCGAGCCAAGCACAAGGCGGGTCACACGTGGACTCTAGACCGCAAGGATTGTGCTGTCGTAACATTATCAAACAGCTTAATCAGGATCAACTCGCTTTTCACCAGACAGCATCTCAACGCCTGCATCGTGAGATCCCGTAATGGAACACTCCATAATGGAGTCCACGAGGAAACTGAACAAAAAGGTGGAAATCGGACAATACTGACGAACGTCACTTTTTGTCGGAAAACTATTCGACAGGTCATCGTAGACCCTGACATGGTCTGTCGTGTTCGTGTACAGAGCACGTAAAATATTCCAAAATTGCATGGGACACCTTTCCGTGCAAGTAGTTCGAGCAGAATGCATTGATCGACTGAGCCAAAGGTCCACTTGTAGCCGAGGAAAAAGCTATTATAGGCCTGCGGTGCATGAGGATCCGCTTTAGCACCTGTCGCAATGTGAATATGTGGTCTATACAGTCCCGTTCAGAGCGGAAGCCAGCCTGCTCTTCCCTAATCCGGGATTCTCGCTCCGCAGTGAGGCGAGGAACGAAAACGGAGGCCCGTAATTTTGTCACAACTGGCAATATGCTAATACCGCTGTGGTTAGCTAAGATGTCCTCTGCCTTCCAGACCTGTTCGATCAGGGAGGTCAGTGCTTTGCAGAGGACCTCACCTCCATCCTGAAATAGTGTGGGTGCGAGGAAATCCGGTCCAGAAGAAGGAAAACTATTGAAGGCTGCGACCAAGTTTCGAATCTCAGCTTCAGCCTCTAAACGAACTGGCCATGGCTGAGAATATAACACCAGAGTTGGAAGAGGTCCAAAAGCAGGGGGACTATTGAACAACTCTCAAAAGTGTCCAGTCCAACGAGCCATACTGCACTCTTTATTGTGAATCAGGGCACCCGCGCTGTCTCTGGTTGTAACAGTGACGCCTGGTTTCCCGGGAGCAGTGGTGCGGATCAGCTGGAAGAGCTTGCGATAATTGTCTACCACTCCTGCTTTCTCCATTTATTGAGTGCGACTGGTCAACCAGACTTCTTTGTCCGCACACAGGCTCCGCTTTAGCTCGTGCCTAATAGTCCGCTTAGTAACACTGTGCTCAAGGCCAGCCAGGAGTTTTCTTCTGGATTTCAGTATATCCACCGACCTATCGGATATCCAATGTCTGGTGCGGTGACGGTTGATAGTGCCGCAAGCGGAAGTTCCTGCATGTTGCATGGCGGCCGAAATCTTAATCCACAGAAGCTCAGTGTCATTAGGACAAAAGGGCAAATTCGATACGCAGTGCATCATGGTGGTCTTACCTGACCGAGGGCTGGGAAGACTTCCCAATTGTCATTTGATTGCCATTGGTATGCCTCCCAGTGAAGGCTGTGGAAAAACGACAGTGTACCAACACATGATCAGAGTCGACGCAAGTACTCCAGAAAAAGCGACAATCCAGAATGGAATCACGCCACTGTGGCTTATGGCAATGTGATCTATTCCGGTCTATCGCTGGTCAGCTACAGGAGGACGTCAAGTGGTACTTCGGCGCCCACTGTGTCTAAAAGCGGTCCTACTAGGAAACAGCTGGTGCTCCTCACACAACTGTAACAGACGCTCGCCGTTGTCCGTCCGTTCGGAGTTAATCTCAAAATTGCCACCTAGCGGAACTTCTGAAGAGCTCAGACGACCTACTCGCGCATTCACAACCCCTGCATGAACTATGATATCAGAACTGGTAACATTGCGTAGTAGCGTGTTCAATTCGCGGTAGATTATGTCTGTTGCAGTATCAAAACTGCAGTCGGTGGGAGCATAAGCGGAAACCACAAACAAACATCGTCTTGTACTACTTCGTGTATAAATCTTGGTTGATGTTGTCAAACGGACTGCACACAAATGGCTGTTCACTGAAATCCACTCAACCAAGGACGATTGAGTCTTGGAGCTGAGAACAGTGCCCATTCCAGCTTGAACAGTGGTTGACACATCAGCGTCTCCGGATGCGTACAACCAATAGCGAGAGGACAAATCGGGTGTAATTAATTCAACAACCCCACGAAGGTTGTTAACCCTAGTTTTGGACACACAACACACAGCGTGTTTAGCGTGCGTGAGGGTGCAGCCTGTTGACCTATTTGTCTCAGAGTACGAATGTTGAACGTGGTCGGGGAAACTGGGCAGCGTGGCTTTCTGAAGAGCTGTTGGTACGACATTGCAGTTGGTGTTAAGTAAACTGAGAATTATAGAAAGAGGGTTAGTAATGGGGTCGGGATGGGAGAAAGAGAAACGGGTGGAAACAAAAGAAGGGAGACGCCAGCAGTAGCATGTTTGCGTTTATCCGCCTTGCTGTATGCAGCATATAAGGCGATCCTTGATAATCTGCGCGACGACCGATGCAATAAATGGTTAAATTTTGAGGAAATTGTCATGGTTGTATGTGGGCTGGGATACTGCCAGGGCGCCAAGACCTAGACAGGAGGATGATTAGGGTCCTCAGCCAAAGCCTTTGGCTCAAGAGCCTGTCAAAAAGCACCGAGGAGGTGGCAATAAATTAGTTTTACAGAGGTGAACGCCATCCCATCTCAAACCTTAGACTTGGAGGACCAGGAGGCTGAGTTTCTCTGGCCTCTAACGATTGACCAACATAGTAGAAGTAGCCTTTAAGAGGCCCAAGGGCCCCCCTAGTATAGCTCAATGGGTCGACGAGGTACGCAAACCGTCGCACCAAGTTAAGGTACAGTCTCGTCGTGACAGATGGAAGGCCTCAGCAATAAGCCGATACCAAATACCGACGCTTCGCTGAAGCGCGACCACTAGCGGTCGTACGTGGGCTAAGGATACTGTAAGGGTCGTCATTTCGCTACCCAGGCTAGAACCCGTGCTGCAAGATTACAAGACAAGCACGTTAGCTTTTAGGCTACGCGCCGGTCGAATGTAAATAAGTATGTACACAGATTTTCACGGCTTTCGATTAAGCGCAATGTCCTGAATTGCTTGGAGTCAATGACACTCTTCGTCCTTGGGTCCCTAACCAGGTAGCCGTGGATTCTACGGCAGCAACACATAAAGTAAACCATTTCATATGCCGCTGACACGTGGACGGCTGACCACCACGCGGTCCCCACCAGCGCGGTCCTGAATGAGTGAATACAATGGCGCAATGCATAGGGCGTGATCGAGCCATCAAAATGGCGCAGAAAAACTAGTTTGTTATAGGGAATATTTGCATTCCCCAGGACGCGAGGTCTGACTTCATCATTTCGGATACGTGGGTGCCCCACATACACGAGCAATCCTCCTCAAACACATGTCATCTACACGAACTGGCCATGACTCGCTTCTATATAACAATACCGCCCGAATGGTGGCGTTGTAAACACGACCCTTCGCCAAGGGAGAGATATGTCGACGACGCTATAAGTGTTTCAGGTTGACAAACGCCGACCGAGTCTTGGTGAGGTTGAGAGAAACTTCCTTTCCAATGGTACCACCAGCAGACACGCAGCTGCCCAGCTACATAAAGCTATCCACTTGTTCAATGTGTGTACCTTCAAAAGTGAGCATGGGAACGAGCAAGTGCCAGTCCTGGAGCGGCACCTTACGCTTCGAGGGGCGAAGCACATTCCGTACTGAGATGCCTTAATGGCCAAACGGTTTAGAATGGTCTGCATACTCCGCGAGTCAGCACCAAGATGTCGCCAGCTTAGTCAAAGTCGGTCGCGCGCTTACCCGGTTGTAGCTGCAGGCAAAAATGTTGGTAACCGTCTAGAGCTCTCTACAGGATGTAGTTACTCGCAAAATTGAAGAGGAACGGGGACATAGGGTAGTCCTGCCGTACATCGCCATTGATATCGAAGGACCAGTAAGGAATGCAATAAATCCCAACCCTGTCAGAGACGCGAAG